ACCTCAGCCGAAAACTGTCATAAGATCCCAGGAACCCAAGGAATGGAAACATTTTGGGATACAGGCAGAGGCAAGGGACTTCCCTGCAAGCTCTAAGGTGCTTTGGATGTGCTTTTTGGGGGGTGTCCTTATTGATTGGGAATTCATGTACTTGGAAACTGACCCAGAAGTCCCCAAAGCGGGAGCACGGTGGCCCTGAGGACTTTGGGACCTTCTGGTGGCCCAGCTCTCACCCTTGTCTGGATGCTGCTCTCACAGGGCTGGTGTGAGTGCCTTTCCTTTACACAGGAGGAGCACCAGGGTGTTTTGTATCGTGCAGGCGTTTGCAAACCTGCAGGAACACAAGAGTGCGAACAGCAATGGGGAGAGGAGTGCAGAAGCTGTTGCCTGAGACAGGACTAACAACCACATTTAAGGTCCAGGTAGAGGGGGGTGTTGCTGAGGTCCTGCTTCTCACTGCCTGTGCCAAGAGAGACTCTGGAAGGGAAGCACTGAGGAGTAGGGCTTTGCAGGAAGGCTGGGGGCTTGGTGGTACCCAGAAGTGTGGACACTGCACAGCCCCACTTGGGTGTGACCTAGCTCAGTCCTCCAGGCACGATCCTTGCTCATAAATTTCTTCCTCAGCTTGCTCTAGTAGTTGTATACAAGGTGTCCACATCCCAGAGCAGCCCTGGGTGAAGGCTTTGTCTCTCCCTGCTGGTGGCTCTGGTGGCAAGACCATCCCTTCGGAGACAGAGGTAGTGCCCAGCACTTCCGTGGAGGATGGGAAGACAGCTTATGTCCCTTCCCCATTTCTCTCATAGGATAAATTAACACTGTGGCTTTTCATTTGATCCACTGGTATTCTGAAGGACTTTATCCAGTCTTTACTGTGGGTTGTTCCCCCGAGTTAAACTGAAAAATGTTATAAACTGGGGCTACACTTACACCAGATGTCAATAAGATGCAATGGAGATCTATGGAAATACCCTGTGTAAAGGGCACAGACTCTTCAAAAACCCCCATCCTTCAAATGGTTTGTGCCAGCAAAGATCTGGTGTGACCTGAGCATGCAGGTGTTCAATGCCAGCACAGTGCAGGAGGGTGCACCCTAGTGCACTAGGGCTGTCCCCTAGTGCTTGCACAGAGGTGGAATCCAAGCAGTGAGGAGAGGTGTGCAGAAGGTTTGACAGTGGTTTTAGGTGTTTTTCATCCAGACATGATAGATGATTAATTGGATACCTAGCAAAGTTAACAGGAATAGCTTGAAGTTTGTGGCTGCTCAGGCATGAGAGAACCAGCTATCAGCTCCCACTGCACTGCACTCAGATACACCCCACAGCTCAGCGAGGAAGACAGTAACATACCTTGCAAGTACAGCCTGCAAACAAGCAGCGCAGGATGACAAACAGGGAAACAACTCAAATCACAGCTGTAAGTATGATTGAGATGTAGTTTAAAATTCAGAGATTTGCTGTAACTCTAAATGGACTGGTAATGTGCTGTACTATATTTGGAATTTTTCAATAATGTAATTTAATGGGAGGCTATTTTTCAGTATTCCAAGACACTGTCAAAAGGCTGAGCTGAATAAAGGAAGAAACAATACAGTGGAAAATTTCAAACATCTAAAAAGAAAACACTACACACCAATATGTAAAAAAAAAGTTTGAAAATGTGAGTTATCTCTTGATCACATTAGAATAGATAATATCAGAGGAGCTTTTACCTTTCAACTTTCTCTTCTACTTTCTCATTGTTTGAAAAGTTAGTGAGAAGAAAATAAAAGGGAACAGAATCTCATAGTCCAAAGATTTACTCTGTCATATCCAATGACAAATGAAATATATGGGAAAAAAAAAAGGAAAGAATAAAACCCATTTAAGTCTCAAATTTGGAAATACCTAAATGTCTCTTTTGGGGGATTCCCCTTCCCTCCCAAGCTGTAGAAGGAAATTAATTCTTTTCATGAATGTCACTCCTTCTTTGTGGAAAAAAGAAAAAAAATGATTCATGTGAAAATTTCCACTGGGTCCAGTTGGAACATCTTTGCTATTTGAAGTGGTATGTAATCAAACTGCATTCTTACATCCTTTTATGGATATTTATGTCATATAGAGTATGCAGCCTTGAACTTAGCCTTTCACATACAAGAACATGAGCTGAATTTATTTTACATCATCTTGTAGGGATATTTCACTGAGTCCATTAAAAAAAAGAAAAAGGAAAAAAAAAGGAAGAAAAAAAGGAATATCTTGACAAATAAAACTAGAACTGGTTATGGAGATCCTGCTGAAATTACAAATTGAAAAGCATTCATATGGGTGGAAAGTAACACAGCCCAGGAAGAGGAGATGATGAACCTCTACAATGCACGAAAATGGAGCTATTTTGCAGGAAAGTCATTCCACAGCAATTTCTCTTTATAGGCATATGCTCTGTAAGTCAGGAAGTACACAGTGTGAAGCTTGCACTGCGATTTTTGTTCACTCATCACTCTTAAAACAGTGTTCATATCGATGGCATTTGAAATTTCTAATCAGTATTCTTTGTGTGTTTGCTAAAAGCAAAAATAAATAGTGGATGTTTAACTATGTGTTTAATTATGAAGTTTCAGTTCCAAAACCCAAGGCCTGATGCTAAGGTTGGGCTGAGATCCCACTAAATTTAATGGAATATTTGGCTAAGTGAAAAACCCAGGGCTAGCTCCTGGAGGCCAGGTGCAAACTGGGAGCTCAGCTTATATCACATCCGCTTATGTACAGGTATGGCCAATAGTATATCAATCCTGTTTGGACAGGGGACAGTAGGTTGCCTCATACAGCAAACACGCAAAGCACAGGTCCAGGATGGTTATTTGAGTTGAAAGGGTGTTTTCTTGCTTTCACAACTTTAATACTGCTAGTGATGCTTTTTCTGCATGCCATTTATACACACATACATACACACACCAGAGAACTGTACTAGAGAACTCAAAGTTTTACTGGTGGCTCACAGGTCTACATGAATTACAGCTTATTACAATAATTAGGACCTGCAGATCTGCTCTAATTTTGAGTGCAGGTGTGGGAAGGAGATGAAAGGTTGCTGTTTCAAATTACGTTAACTTTCAGTGCATTTTGGCAGGAGTGGTATGAAAAGAAAAGACTGGGTTAATTCTGCCAAGAGTTTTAATACCATCCCTAATGAAATTAATGTGCTAGATCTGCGAAAAACAAACAAACAAACAATATTGTCAGAAGTTCAAAAGGGTGAATGGGGAAAGAAACATTTACCGGGTCAGCCACTTGGCATTCTCAACTGTGAAATAAGCCACAGCCAGTCAACCAAAAATATGCACTTTGTACACCAGATTCCAGCTGATTTTTAACATTCTGCATTATTAACATATTCCAGGTCCATTTACTTAACCATAATTAATACTGCTTGTTCCTTCTCTAAAAAAAATATTAATTTGGAGGTTACTGCTTAGATTTGGGTGCACATGTAAAACATCACATCTTATATCTCCAATAAGATCTGCCTGTATTTTCAACAACTACACAGGTCAAGGAAAGTCTTGTTGTATTTTCAATTACTTCTGAAAAAAATTAAAACCTTGGAGTTGTTTTTAAATGTGTAGGCAATCAAAATTTTGGATATCGAGGCAACCTGAATTCTAGCAGATTGCATTAAGGAAAGATACTTTACTTGAGAATCACTAATAGTTGCTGACAATGTGGTAATTTTCTTTGACACAGTGAGATTTTGGCCTCTCTCGGTGAAAGGCAGCAAAGCTGCATGGAGGTATCTGCTCTGTTCCTTCTCTGAAGTGCTGTAGAAGAAACTGAAAGAAGTAGAAATCCTGCAATTTTCACAGCAATTTTTAGGAGCAAGTACAATGAGAATGAATGCAGTGATCAGTACTCATTGCAGCCTGTTTTGGCTCTTTTTGCCAGCAGTGACCAAGTGTCCTTCAAGCTGATACTTACATGTCTATTAATGTCTTTGATCTAAGAAAAAGACAAACACAGAAGGTGGAAGGGAATTTTTCTCCTTCTCATTTGTATGTGGAAAACCACCCAAACATGGCGCTGGCCCAGCTGAACACAGGGATGCTGCTGAAGGCTCTGCCATGCTCTGTAGTTCTTTCTTGCTCACACTGGGAACAACAGAGACAGAAAAGCTCCTAAAGCACAGCTCTATTTACCCCAAACCAGGAGACTGTAGCTTGGGGGAACTAGAAGAACTAGAAATATAAACTCAGTTCTCTCCCCCTGTTTAGACTCCTTTTCACAATGCTTGTCTACACCAGTCTGGTTCTTCCAAGAGTGTTTCTCTGTGTTTTCCACATTGCCTTTTACATATGGAAAAAAGTTTACTAACTCAATTAAAACAGCTACTACATGCCTTCAACTATGTCCTTCTTATACACTAAAAAAAATTAAAAAAAAAGACTTTTTGAATGCTTTTAAATTAAAGAAAATTGTGCAATTAGGAATTTCTAGAATGGTGTGATGTGATTTTTGTTCTTCACATCCCCTCCATACATGTACCAGTAACTGTAAATCAAGAGCGTGCCTCTAGATATCTTCTTTGTACATCTAATAACTTTTATCACAGGATCAAAAACATGATCATCTTTGTAACATTATAAGCAAGATCTGTGTTTTCCATTTAATATGTCTGATACCACAAAGCCACATCTTACAACATTATCTTACAGAGTACTTTTATACTTTGTTATATACTTCATTAGCACTGATGTAACAGAGCTAAATAGGCTTCCATTTCACAGCTCTCAGTGACTGGCTCTTCTCCCAGCCCGGTATAACCTTCAAAACACTTTTACATCCAGCACTTTCTAATCTGGTGGCAGAGAAGATTTATTTGCTTTAATATAATGAGAGTCATTCCTGAAGACCATGCACAACTGTTTTTCTATTAAAAAAGCAAAGCAGTAAACAAGATTAACCTGAAGTAACCATTTTGACTCACTTCCATTTTGCGCATACAAAACTGCACAGGGCACAGTCGCTTACCAGTGCTGGGGAAGAAACCATGCCAAGGAATAGTTTTCAGATTACAGACGGGTAGGTCAGGGTGGTCTCTTACAAGTGCACTTTACACTAACTCTTTACCAGCTGATCTGTCACAGTGATGGCACAGGTTATCTTGGGACTAGGGTAAAGATTGACTGCTGTCACTACACTCTCGTGCAGAGCCAAAGCAGCAGCAGCAGCAGCAGCTCGCCTGCTGGAAAGCGAGTCCCTTGGCCAGAAGCCTGCAAACTCATATGCAGCAGCCCTTGTGCATTATGGCAGTTGGCCCATGGTGACAAATAACATTTGCACTCTGTAGGTTCTTCAGAAAGTTCCTATTTTCAGCGCTGCCCAGGCACTGCAGTCAGGAGAGCACAAGCTGAGGCCCTGCTTTACCAGAATATCCAACAAGTCACTCAGATGCTGCTGATGTCCAGGATGCCTAGATGACACACTTGGAAATGATCCGCTTTTGTCCACCTTTACTTTATTTGTTGGGACAGAGGTTAGATGAATTGGGTGAAGAAACAATGTTGGAATCAACTTTTCTTATTTCAGGAACAACCAAGGCCACAGGCACCCACACCACTGGTTATTTCTCAGCACTGCCAGGGACAGTTTCAGATTGCTTTTTGCCCATAGTATAGCTGTTTCAATCTTATAAAACAGTGTATGCAGATCAAACACAAGCACACCCACCCATGAATGGGCAGCCAGTGCCACCAGCCACGCATGCACCAGCAGTGAGTAGCTTTAGATCTTATCAGCAACAGAAAGTTGCACCACTAACCAAGAATTTGCTTTGCAAATAAGTGCAAAATCTCGGGTAAACACTAATACCTATCATGGGTGGCTGCTTTCAGTGGTGTAAGCTGATACAACTCACTCAGGTTTCAATTTCAGAGACATTAGCATGATTTTGCAACACTTTCTGTAAGTCAGTGTAATCTTGAGTGTTACACCGCACTGGTGCAAGATCTTGTGTGGAGAAGACCTAATGTGGTGCATATTTGAACTTGGGAACAAGTGGAACTAGCCTACCTGTGTGCATTGAAGATTCATGTCTGGTTTTATTACATCATCAGCTTTATGCACTCCATAAAATACACTATAGGGTCTTCTCAATGAAACCTGAAATTGCATTGAATGCAACTGGCTTTGTGCCTTAACATATATTTCATTATCCTAAGCTTCTTAGGTCTTTACATGAAATTAGATCTATATATAGCAACAACCTACATTCACTGAGGAACTTAGTTTTTCCACCATATCTTCTCCATGAAGCCAAGAAAAACAGCACAGTCATCTGTAGGGACATCTCCAGGGACAGGCTCTTCTCTGGGTTTGTTTTTTATTTTTAATTTTCATGTTTAATTCTTTTCCCCTAGTTCACAGTCAGGATTAAAGGGGCATTTGCAAGCTGTCACCATTCAAACCCAAAGGAATAAACATGGAGCAGAGAAATTTGCAAAACCCCTCTGTAAAAGGAATCTCCAAGCGCTTTGCCAGTTGCTAGTGAAACTATGCCATGCTGCACCAGAACAAAACACCTTAAAGATGCATAAATACATTACAGTTCATATCACATGTTCAGAAGGTTTTATGGAAGGTGGGAATGGAGAGCAGTCTTGATATAAACAGCTTGAACCACAGAGACTGCCTGTGTTTGAAAGTAAATAGATAGATAGCTGTTTGAAGCAGGAAAGAAAAATATTTCAAAGCCTTAATATACAGTTGGGGTTTTGTTGTTGGTTTTGTGTTAAATGTTTGTTTGGTTTGAGGTCTTGTTGGGCTTTAGTAGTCAGGTCTAGGAAATGGGAAAAGGTTGGAAATAAAAGACTTTTAACAACACAATGGAAAACAATCTGTAGCATTCACAGGAGGTTTGCCTTTGTGCCAGGCACAGTCCTTTCATTTCACATATTACAAAGGAAAGACAGTAGTGACTTTTTCTCAAGACCAAATGAAATGGTCTGTCCCTCTGCAGCCAGTCAGGGAGAGAATGCAACTTTCTGTGAAATGGTGCCAAAGATACAGTTACTTTGAGGTAATGATTTTCAATTTCTTGTGAAAGCTCTTGTTTTGCAGAAATTAAAGTGTTGTAACACATTGCTTTGCTTCACGGAAGTTTTGATCATCTTTTTCCCCAGACACAAAGTGCCCAGGACACGAATACTTGAATTCTTGCAGGCACAGAAGCTTACATTCTATTACACCCAATTTAATGACTTTACATTGGCTTCCAGGAAAGTAATGTATTGATTTTGAAGTTCTCTTTATTAACTGCCATTAAGAGACTTTCAGAGGACTTGCTACATCATAGCTGTCTGATTTTTTTTTCTTTTTATTAACCACACCATCATTTAAAATGCAGATTGGCTGGCTATTTAATTTGACCTGAATTTATGTATCCTCACAACATTAAGGGGAGATTTGTTATAAGATGTATCTCCAGACAAATTGAGTAGTGAGAAAAAATACACCTTCCTTTTATCTCACAGAACTACACCTTCCTCCTGCCGGCAAATATCTCACTTATCTGTGCAGAATCTTTTGCTTCAATCATGTAAAAAAATATGTAACAGTTTTTTTCTAAAATGTAGAAAAAAAATCTTTGGTAGACTTTTATTCCTGTTGTTTACATTCATGTTTTAGACAACAACCTATAATATTATATGGCAACCTTACATAAAACCCTTTATGGGGAAGGGAGGCAAGTCTGGACATTTTAGAACACCCTTTATAGAGAAAGGTGAGGCATAAATGCCCTTTGGATTTTGTAAGCTTTCTCTGAATGTGGTGTTGAAATATCGAATGTGTAGTGACATACTGAAGGCAAATAGCACACCAGCTGGATGGCCAGCAAGCCCTGCCTACGCTCTCCATGGGGCAGTTTTCTTTTCACCTGTTATTCCCAGTCTGCTGCAGAGGTTCCACAAAGGTGCTGACCTCAAAAGGCTGGCGAAGCAGTGAAACAGTGGGTTTTGCTTGCTTTCTTTCTTCAACTAGGAATTATTGCATCATCAACATCTGCAGTCACAAGAACATTGTTTTCTCCTAGAAGACAAATTAAAGGGCAGTTTTTCTGTGCCTAAAAATTGTGCAAGCGCATTTTATGCCAATGTTATCCCACTGGTAAGTTACAAGGTCCAAAGAAGTTTGTAGAGAAGATTCGTTGCAAAGAAAACTTGCTCAAGGAAAACTGTGGGAAGCCCATCAATTTCAAACTTTAAACTAAACCTTGACAAAAGACACAACACTGACTGTATGAAACAATCCTCGGCAAAAGGGAAAGAAAGATGAAAAGCCCTGCTACAGCAGTGTTACATGCTGCAGTTTCCAACCACAGCTTCACACAGCAATTCTTTTGGCATCAGGGATTGTTGTTCCAAATTTCTCCTGAGCCACAATTCTAATGTAAGTGCACTGAGATCAGCCAATGTTCATCTACTTGGGTGATGAAGGATAATGAACCCATAAGTTACACTTTTCTTCCATAGAGCTGGCTAAGGGTTGCTGCTCTAAACTGCCAAGCCTGCCAACAGCCTGGCCCAGCTCTTGGTCTTGTAACAACATCTGAGGCAATTGCAGTGTTTCCTGGATTATAAATTCCTTACTTTTTATACCATTGTACTGAATACAGGAATTTTGTTCTTCACTTTCTTTTTTTTTTTTTTTTTTTTTTTTAACAACCAGAATAGCTGAGTGCTTCAGGTATCTTGGCTCTACTTTACCTTTACTTGGGCACAAAAAGAACTTCTCATCTTCCCCTTTGCACTTCATGATATTTTACCTTATACATCCCATTTCCCTAAAGATGTTAAGTTTTCTCCCAACATAATACAAGGCAAGAGCATATTTTTCATTCCACAAAAGGCAGAATCTTATTGTATGTAATTGCTGGTTCTACATTTTTAACCACTACTTTTTGATTACAGTAGTGCCTGCAAGAAGAGTAAGTCCTCCCCATGCTGTTTCTTTTGGCTGTGTGAATCGTTAATATGCCTATTATTAGTGACAGAAATTGACTTTTAAAATAAAATACTTCAGGGCAATGAGTATTTTAAAGACAGCTTTTGTTTCACTTTAAAGTACAAAGAAGAACAGTTTCATACAAGTAAGTTCTGTTGCAATTTCCTTTAGCAAAGAGATTCAGTTAATACCATGTATCAAATCTGGAGCCAGGGTTGGCAGGTGGAAAAGGGAGTAATTGATGTATTGGGGAGTTTGAAGACTGAGTTATCTGTAAACTGTCTTCTTCAGCCACTATCATTGCTGCAAATTTTAACTTATACCCTGAGAAGTCTTCAGTGTCATTAATTGTATCCACTAAGAAAATTGAGAGGATACTAGATGAATTTGTAATAAAACCAAACACAGAGGGAAATCCTCTGACATTTCACTAACTTGTAAGTGCTTTATGAGGGATGACTCCTAATTATTTGTACTAAAGGCTCAGTAAGCACCAAGAACAGAAGCAAGATATGTGAGATCCGTGTAGATTTCTGTTCAGGATAATGAAGAAGGTTGAGCTCTACTTCTCTTTGCTGAATTTTCTCTGAATTGGCTCCAGTAGGGCTTATTTCCTGCAGACATAAGAAAATGACTTTGGGTAAAGAATAACTTAGACTTTTATTACACTTTGCAGTTTTAGTATCCTAAGTCTTATTCTCAAGAAAAGCCAAACCCAACAGTTCAAATTTTGAACATATTCCCTGTTTCCCGGCTCATGGTATTACTATGCAGGAAGATTTTTGTACTAATCATTTCTATTTTTTCCCCTCAATATTATTTTCTGGAAGTCTTTGTACAGAACTTTGAAGAGAAATGTCTACAATTTCACTTGCAGAGTCCAGGTTGTTTTTTTTTTTTTAACCAACAAAAAATACTCCATAACTCCAACATTTCATTTGTTTTAAGGTCAAAAACCCCACCAAATTCTGTCTTTTCCATTCCAAACTGAGAATTAGCCACAGTGAAAATGGGCTGCAACAGTTTTCAGATTCCAGCAAGCTGGAGTATTATTCAGCTGCAAAGTCAATTCATCTAAGAAGTGTTAATTAGGAGATGCCCAAACCTCAGCTGCTTTCAAATTATGACCAAGGATAAAAGATACCTCATTAGAACAGTGTCCCACACCTCTAGCCACATTGAGGCTAGGAAACAGAGCTTTTCTTTTTAGTTTTTGATGAATTAAATCTGCACAGAAGGCATACCTTTTGGGTGTGCCAAGACCACCCAGCAAGAGAGTTACCGCGGCAGAATTAGAACTTGGGAGTTCCTGGTTTATTGTCTTAAGTTAAAACCACTAGACTGAGCTTATTCTAAGGGAGGAGGGGAAAAAGTGGCCAGAAAGTAAACTTTTATAGCATGGTAGTAAATTTAGAGCTGGTTAGAATGCTGGATATTAATGGTAACAGGAGGATTTTTGTAAAAATCAGGATAACTTCTGGAGTCTACTGAACTGCTCAAAGTGCTACAGTGCAGAACACCCAACACCATCTGCCCACATTTACAAATGTTTTTAAAGGAATTCATACTGACTTGCCTAATGCTTATCTGAAATTGCAGTCTTTGTTTCTTCATATTCGAAGCCAGTGTAAATCAAAGGAACTCTGGGAGCTTTTACTACAGTTACTTTAAAATGGGCTGAGTTTTTCCCACATAGAGGAATCTAAAAGTGGTAAGTTAAAAAAAAAACAGATAGGCATTAATTTCACTTTGTTAGCTTACGCCAATAAAGTAACCAAAGTCTTTCAAAGCTTTAGCTGGTCAGCAAAATATTTCTGCAAATACCGCAAAACTTCTGTTTTAAAGGATCATCCACTGCTGTGTGAATAAACACTGTGCAATAAACAACACTACTCCATTTGCAACTCCTCCGAAGCTTGCCAATTCCTGATGTTTCATATAATCTTACACCTCAAACCAATTTAGAAGTATTGCAGCAGCAACTCTAAGACTAACGGCTGCAGAAACACAGAGCAGTAATGTTTTCCCCATCCATCACTTCACAGATGAGAGAGGGATGGATAAAATTTTCTTTGACACCTAATAGAGCACACACAGCAAATGTTTACTCAGTTCTTCTGCTTTGAAGATATTGTCAAGCGCTCTGCTGACAGCCATTACTGTTCCTGCTTGTTTAGACAGAGCTCTGAAATGCAGAGATACGAAACATGAAAAGTATCAGACTTCAGTGATTTCATAGTGTGATGACAATGTTATATATTTCAAATCCATTGCAAATCCAAGTTTGAAAGACATACAAATACTGCTGTTTGAACTATAATTCAGGCTATTTGGAAGGAAAAAAAGAGCTTGTGACCTGGAGCTCTTACTGAACTTCCAGCATTTGGAGTGTAAAAAACATATTCACTTCCAAGCAGTCACCAGGCATGAAATCTTATACTGACCCACTTGTGGGGTAGTTGTACACGGGTGGTACACAGAATACATGTAGTACTTACGCAGAGTTTATCGAATTATTTCGTTTATTATCTTCTCATACCTGTGGAGACAGTACTGTTTCTTAGAGGATTGAAAAGGTTTTAAAAACTGCACATGCCAAAGTTCATGTTAAGTTCAGCCATTGAACAAGCTACAGGTATTTGTGCATTAAGAAAAAAAAAACAAACAAAACCAATTCTTTCATCATTTTATGGAGATCTAACAAGACCAGTTTTTTGAGTAATTTCTTCTACTGCTATACTAACCCTTCCAAGAAGCTTGCCATATAGCCAGAAGGGACTCCTGCTTGGAGGGAAAGCAATACTAAAGCTAGGCCAAGTTCCCAATACAGCTGTATCCTGTTTACCGTTGCAAAAAAGGCCTGTAGGAATTCACAACAACTAGAGTGTATTTGCTTCTTGACATTTCATGTTAAAGGTTCAAGCTACATTATAAAGTCTTAAAATATCTACTACACAGAACTCAGCACTGCTGAAGAGAAGTATGCATCTGTTGGTGGATATTTATAGCTTTCTCTGCCTCTACAATGAGCAATTTGGAGGGGTAAAGCTGTCAGAATTTTATTTCCATTCAGAAACTATGCCATGATTTATGCTTGTTAAACTTTCCATGATTAAATGTCTCATGACTCACTTTCTAGTAATTCCTTTTATTAAACTCATCTTACAGTGAGCTGAAGCTTGATAATACCCACAGAATGAACAGCACAGCAGTTTTATTGAAAAATGTGGACATTTTGTTATCTGCCTTTGAACAATCATTAGCCTCTACATTTTGAGTCGTATTAAAAGCTGTGATACCTTTCTGTCACAGTGATAGAAATTTAAAGCAAAATAAAAATGATGACATGAAGTGTAAAAGAACTGGGATGTTTCTTTTAAGTACAGGCAGTGATACGATTTCTCTGAAGCTTTATTACTGACATAATATACCTGGAAAAAGCAAAAGATATGGACGATTTAGGATAGGTAACATATTGAATAATCACATTCACAAAGGTGAAGTCAAAATATTCCAGAGATTATAAAACAAGTAACAAAGAACCTCAGTGAAATCACAGTTTTGAAGACTTTCCCAAAGATTCAGACCTCGCACTG